ATGAAAGCTGATATTTTGCTATAGTCACTTCTTTCCAAGAACTGGGTTTTGACTCGAATAGAATATGACTTGCAAAACAGCCGTGAGACTTGGCAGTACCAAGTTCACTGAAAAAAAAGCACATGAAATTAATATAATTTGAAAATAATATTAATTTATCTAGAAGATCAGGCTGTTTGTTGATCATTCTTGTATGCTACTCTATTAAGCTTCTTTCCTGCAAAGCTAATATCTGTTAATAGCTTTATCTACATGACAAGATCCCAATGTGTAGGGCTGGGTGGAGGCAGTGCGAGCTCCACCAGACCCAGTCCCAACATGTGAGGGCGATGCTTAATCCCCCTGGACTCCATCCCAGAGTGCAGGGCATGGGATGGGGCAGTGCCAGGTCCCAGAACCCTGTCTGGCCCGCAGATGGGTTCTGTGCCACTTATCTGACCCATGAGGCCAAAAGGTTGAGTACCACTGCTGTAGATCATGGGTCAGCAACTTACGGTGCCAGAGTCAGATCCGATACGTGGAACCTTTAGATCTGGCCTATGGAACCATGACTTCGGTGTCATCCAGCAGCAAAGTGACACTGCCGACACTGTCTCACAATCAGGTGCAGAGATGAAACATGCAAAGAATGCACCCAGGGAAGTTCTTTCTCACCCTTCCCACCCACCTTTTGGCCGGTACCTTCTGGTTTCTTCATATAGGAGTAGTAGCAATCAGCAGCACAGATACTGTGTGTGATGGAGTAAAAGGCCTTCTAGGAATTGCAGTTTTTAACAGTGAAGTTTGCTGTTGCTCAGGACAAACTGTCACATTATTTTTGTTTCTGAAGCCTATGCCAAGGGGCAAAAAAAAAAAAAAATGATGATTTTGGCATGGGATTGAACCTTCCCCCAGCAGCAGCAAACTCTACTGCCACTCTGCAAGTTTCCCAGAGCAGTTCGTGCTCTGTGATACGCACTGCCTGTGCTGGTGCTTCCCGCAGCTAGGAAGTACAGGTGGATGGGAGGATGAGGTGTCCATCCTGATCCTTCTGGTGCCCCGCCCCTTAGTCAGGGGTGGGAAAAATGTGGCCCGCAGGCCAAATGCGACCCACCAGGCCATTGTATCTGGCCTGTGGGGTCCATAAAAAATTTAGAAAATTAATATTTATCTTCCCTTGGCTGCCTGCCATGTGGCCCTCGATGGCTTGCCAAAACTCAGTAAGCAGCCCTCTGCCCAAAATAATTGCCTGCCCCTGCCTTACATGGTGCTTGGGGCACATGCCCTGCTTCTCCCTCTCCCCTCCCCCAACCAAGAAGTTATGCTAAGACCATGTTTTAAAGATTTTCTAGAAAATATGATTGGCCCCTTTTAATTTGCATTTGCTTAAACACATATTTTATTTTAATATGATAAAAAGTAGCATCCATTATGATACAGCAGTTTAATGCAAAGCTGCCAAATTGGGAAATGTGTGAAAAACCTTTAGTGGAATAGTAGTGTTTATCTGGATTTTCAAAATTGTTTCTTGTGGCAGTTAAAGCTGTTGAAAGTCTCTCAATTAGTTCAGTAAACACTATATTTTTTGAGGAGTAATTGAATGACCCTGAATTCAATTTATGAGTGCATTATTAAAAAGCCCATGCATTGAACTACCAGCTTGAGTACTGTTTGTTATTTTGCAGCAAACACTGTCATGCTTGAAGAAGAGGCACACACACATAGACTCTTGAGATGTAAATGTTGGCAGATGTCTCATTCTACACGTAATGTTCTCAGATTGTGATGTCACAAAAGCCACGTTATGACTTCTTTATAAGCGCAAGTAAAAAGGAATGCTTGTCTTTAATGGGCAGGGAAATTTACATGCAAAATAAACATAGAATATTCCTGTCAAGAAAATAAATTCTTATGTGAATGCTCTCTTTTTGCTATTTAACTCCAGTACAAAACTCCCCTTTAAAAATATCCTAGTTATTTGTGAAAGAGATTAGCAATTTTAATCTTATGGGATCACTGGATTACCCTCAGTGTGTTTTTCTGCTTAATGACACTTAAATGTTTATCCTAATTCTGGGATGTTCAGACAGAAAGGATGTTGATAAAATAATCATGTTTTGAAGTTTTAATGTTGTTGTACTCTGCATTTTTAATTTTAAACTTTTTATTTAAATGCCTTGAATTTACAGAAACAATTTTCTGGTATTCTAAAATAAATTAAAAAATTAAATACTATATTAATTCATGTGATTATTTCATTCAGCTATATCCCATTGTTAACTAGTACATATTGGCTTTACTGGTAAATTACTGAGTAGTAAGTGATTTATGCATTGGCTCAATATTCAGAAACCATATGTATCACTTCATTGAATTCAAATTGACGATGTTTAGCTTGCCAAGCCTTTGGAATTAGTGTCTGTGTATTTATTCTAACCAACTGTTTAACAGTGATATGCACAGGTAATTAATTTGAAGTAATCTGTTTAAAAAACAGATGCAGATTCATTTTTAATCCCTGCTAGAGAGTGGCTACAATCCGTGTTTCTGTTTTATTATAGATTTTAATACTTAAAGGATTTCTAGGAAACTTTAAGCTATCAGGGCCTTGTTTGTTTAAATTGTATAGAAAAGTGTGCAGTAGTAGCTATCCCTACAGTCACATGGACAGTGATCTTTTTGAATAAATGCTTATAATAATAGAAATTATCTTAGTGGCAGGAGGGGGAAAATCATCAGCTTTTTCAAGATGTATAGTAGTCACCTATATTCTGTGGGTGACATTTAGCTAAGAAAAAAAATCAGGCAAGATTTGAAGTAACTGGCATTTTTTTAATTGAACAAAGATTGAAAGATTTGAGCCTGAACTGCCATGAACTAAATTATTTTATATAGTCTTAAGTAATGGAGATAAGTGAGCAGTAATTTATTTCCTATAGTCTTGTTGCATAAATTGCTGATTTTATCCCCTGGAGGCTAAT